ACAATGTTATATAGAACATTTTTTATTCTCCTTTGATAAATATCCACTCCTAACAACAAAATTTCTATTTTTAAAATTTTAGTCTTTTTACTTTTCTAAACTTCATTTTATATTTCCTATCATAATTTTAGTTTGTTCTCAATATCAACCTAAAGAATGAAAGACAAAAAGAGGTGGTTCTATTTGGAGTGTATAAAAGATTGAATGAATCCTTAAACAGTATCAATTAAAATAAATGTAAACATTGAAAATTAAGATCTTTTTATGGTTTCAAAATAGAAAGTCTTTTCATAATTTCAGTTGAAATTTCAATCTTCTGAAATTCAGAGAAAGTTTAAATTTTAATGAGGGAATAGCAAAAATTTCAATCACTTATTTAAGTAGAAAATGTAATTTTCTGAATCTAAATGAAATGATTTATATATAAAATGTTAAAATAAATCAACCCCTACAAAACTCCCAAGACAGAAATATTCAAGTTCAGTTCAACTTTGGCTAATCATTTGACCTTCAGGCAGTCCTAGGTCCTCCTGACCACCCACATCTCCATCATTAGGCTGGGCAATAAGAACGGGCCGTGTGAGAAAGAGGTGCTGCTATCTTGTAGTTTTTGCAGTAGAGAGGTCATGACTTGGTTATTAGGAAACACGACTTAGGTCATGCATGACTACCATTTTTTTTTTTTATATTAAGGAAATCAGAATAGGATAGATGGAGCAGAAAGGATTCTTAGGGAAATAAGATTACTTGATTTGATACTATGCTGGTAGACACAAGTCATTATTTATACATGTGTCTAAATCTGTACAAGGTATAACACCAAGAGTGAACTTGGGGGTGACATGTGTTTCCATCTATCCATGCAGGTTCCTCAGTAGTAACCTGTGTGTGGTTCTGGTGAAGGATATTAATAAGGGGGGAGGTTGCACATGTCTGAGAGCCTGCTTATATGGGAAATCTCTGTACTTTGCTCTCAATTTTTTTGCTCTTTAAAAATGAAGTCTAAGAAAAAAGAAAAGAAAATAGAGCCTGAGATAAATGAGAAATAAGAAAAGTCTATTCAAAACATTTGACGTCCTAAAGAGGAGACAAATGAACTCTTCATTGAATTTGAATAATGAAAACTCTTCTAACACGTTAATTGGCTTTCTCTGCTTGCTTCCTTTTAGGTCTACATGGTGTTCTTGAAAATTTCCAAAGATTCCCTTTCTCACACTATGAATGGTGCTGTTCCCAGACTGGAGTCCTCTCTCTCCACCTCTCCAGGATCCCTAATTGTTCATGAGCTTGCCCAACTATTTCATACTCCTGAGACTTTCCTTCCTCCTGCGAGCACCTTCAATGTTCTCTACATTGATTCAGTTTAAACTTGTGTAGGAGCAAAATCTATGCCTTATACTTTAAAAATGCCATACCCCTTGCAGAGTTTGGTTATAGTTCTGGGCATATTGAGCACACAGTAGGTATAAATTGAACACATTCTGTTTGAAAAAAATCTTCCTTTGACTTGATCAGAAAACAAGAAAAATTTGACAAGTCTTTTACTTTTTTGTAATGCTTTCAAAACATGTCTGGCATCTAGGTTTCTTATGTTTTAAAATGTTTCTGCTTTGTTTATTCTTGTGTTAATGAAGAGTGGTCTCAGAGTGCACATCAGATCTAATTTTACATACAGCAGGGACCTTTCCGTCCAACTGAAATCCATCTGGAAGTAGAAAGGTGGTAGAAACACCAAACTCAAAAATAAACTCTCATAGAGATTTTGTTGATAGCACATGCACTGGATAACAGCCTCCAATGCTCAGGATGCCAAGCAAGGAGAACTCTGGCAATGAATCCCTTTCTATTTGCCTGTTTTTCTTGACTCAACAAAGAAAATAACATGTCAATGGAATGCAATGTAGTGGCCAAAGGAAAACCCCAAACCCAGAATGTCCCGAGTGTTAAATGACCTTTTAGCTGGCTTCTCCTTTTTCTCTGCTTCTGTTTGTGATTCAGGAAAGACAGCTCTTTCTGTTGTCTCTGCTAAACCTGCACTCTCAACAGATGCTATCTCTTGGAAAACAAAACCAAACAGAACAGCATAAGCCCACAGATAACTCTCCCAGCTCAGAGCAGACGAGGCATGCTCTGAAATCAGGGAGAACAATTATTCTCTCTTTGTATTTCTGCATGTCCAATGATAAGATTTGACTGTCTATGTCTCTTAAGTTTTCTTGTTTTTAGAGTTACCTAGACCATGTTCCTTTCGTTTTGCACATCTTCATCATATAATCTGGAGGTTTCTGATAAATACTGCGTAAATCATCACATTGGCTACACAATAAAAAATACTGCTGCGTGGATTATTGAAAATGAAAGTCTATCATTATTTGTGATTCTCTTGGCAGAAGTAGTAGTTAGGCAGATAGGCTTGGTTGGTTCTGTTACTGATTTCAGCCTTCCTCTTTTCCTTTCTTCTCCCCTATTCCTCCTTCCCTTTTCTCAGTCTGCTATCCATTCTAAAGTGTAATGACCCTCCAGTGTCTCGTATTTGGCCAGTCAATACAGGAAGCAGTGTCTGGCTCAGTCTTGCTGCTTTCCTTAATATCTACTTATCCAGCTACATTTTCCCTATGGACACATCATCAGAATTTTTAAAACAGTTTGCTTCCCATTCTAGTTACACTCAGCGTGATTCTCTTTAATGTCTGGCTTATTGTGTCACTTAGATTTTCCATGTATTTTAATATGTATTTTTCTCCAGTCCTCCTTGAATTAATTTTCACTGCTCTCCAGTCTTTGTGGAAGATTCTTTTTCAAAAATGGCATGAGATGAAACAAAAAGCAATCTGGAAAATAGTTTGACATTTTTAAAGTCTGTTTTGATTTTGAAAGAAAATTTATATACTCCCCCCACCCGGCTCTTTCATTCCCCTGTCCAACTATTTGAGGAAAATCAGGAAGAGGAAACTAGATAGTGGATAGTATACACTACAGTATGTAAGGAGGAATAGTAAGTAGTCTCTCTAAAAGCCACTGGCATTTCCTACCATAAGAGACCCTGATAAAGAATAATATACCATGGCATTGAATTAGTAAAGGTAGCTGGAATATTAAACATCACTGGTTTTGAAACTAGCTTTGAAACTCAAATGTGAAAAGAGTAGCTTATCACTACCACTGAGAAAATAAAGACCTTCCAAGGCATGTTCAACTGGGAGCCAGGGAAACAGCCAGAGTGGTTGAACTTGCAGAGAGGAGAAAAAATGAGACATGAAAGAGGGAGCCAACACTGTCCACGTTGTTTCTCAAGGCCTTCTAGAAAGAATCTAGCAGAAGCTGGATGACTGAACTTCCCGAATGTTGCAAGCAGAATGCTTCAGCTGGATGAGGGTGTGGAGCAGATGATAACCATATTGTGTCCACTATACAGTGTGACGAATCTGCCTTGCATACCTAACCAAGGTGCAGGACATCATTAGGGCTGATGATGGAAATCTGGCATTGAGCTTTTCTTGTGGCTTTGACCTCGTTTCACCTGGCCGCACCCCTGCTTCCTGTTTGCTGTGTGTTGGGAGGTTGTGGTCCCTGCGGTTGTTAGGGAAGTCTGCAAGACTGCACAGGAAGAGTGGGGTCTCAGGGAGCTTGGAGGAGCACCCAGGCTGGGCTCAGCAACCAGGCCTATGCTGTTCTTCCACTAGTATCACAAGAGTTATCTTCTTGTTTATTTTAGAGAAGTTGGGAGTGTGCAAGGTAAAGTGTTATAGGATGTGCTATAAAAGCCACAGATCCTTGGGGAGGTCCTGAGCATAGGGTTAGTTGAATACAAAACATCAGTTGGGACCTTGCATCTTATCCAGGGGCATAGCTGTGGTGGCAGTTTTAACTGCATTTTTTAATGCTGATAGAGATGGTCTATTCCTATACTGACTTTGGTGTATCAAGCTAACAGGAAAACAAGAAAAGGCAAGGGTGGGCCTGGGAAAGAGAGACATGGTATGAGAAATACATGGATGTGTTGAGAGGAGAGAAATCTTTGTAGGATGGGGATTCAAAACATGGAAATAGGAAAAGATATTCTTTGTGTGTGAACAGAGCAAAGAACTCAGACTAGAAAATGAAATTGACTCATAGAAATAGAAGTCCCTATTGACTAAATAAGAGGAGAAGCAATGGAAATAATTCTGTCTCATGGAAAATAGAGCCTGTACCTCTTCTGGCTGTGTTGTACCTTATCTGGCCTATCTCCAACCTCCAAGTTCTAGATGGGGGCACTTCTGAAATCCCTTGTTTCAATCTAGGAGCTAGATGGATGATTTAGTCACTATGATAGATACCCAAAGTAGACTGATCTTAAAAATCAGTTAAAGATAGCTTTGTGCCTAAAATTTCATATTGGTAGAAATTGGAAAGCTTAGAAAGTCCATGAAAAAGAATAGGGTTTTTTTGTTTGTTTGTTTCATTTGAGAAGAAATTTGATTTGAAACACAACTACTTAGTTAGTAAAAACTTGCTGTGACAATGATCTTGTACCTGTGAATGATATACTCAGACTGAGCTAAAGTCTAGCATAAGTCTGTTTCCTGAGGAGGGGAAAGGTGCTCTTTTATGGAAAATATGGGCCATATTTTCAAAGTTTAACTGACATATTAATAACACAAAAATTGTACCTATTAATGGGAGAACGTGTGATATTTTGGTACATATATACACGTGTAATATTTAAATTAGGTTAAGCAAATCTACTTCTCAAACCTTTGTCCTTTCCTCAGGGCAAAAACTTTCAAAATCTTTTATTATAGGTTTTGTAAAACACAGTACACTAGTGCTATCTGTAGTCACCCTATTGTGCAAAGGCACCCCAGAACTTCTTGCTTCAATCTAACTGTAACTTATGGGTCATAACTTTAAAAACCATGTTCTCCATTCATTGGTTATCTGGGGCTCATATTCAAACATAATGTTTCTCTGGCTCACCTTGCAAGCCCATGAGATTTTTTTTTTTTTTTTTTTTTCAGAAATTGCCACTTCTCACAACACAGCCTTGGCCCTGCTATGACCTGGACACTGCTCCTCTTGGTGAGATGAGAAGAAGGGCTGGAGACTTCTAAGCCATAGTTCCTGCCATCCTGAACCTCACCTGCAGCTCTTGATGAGGACACTGTTGAACCCTGGGTAAGTCCTGTGGTCAGACTGGGGGGCAACTCCCTCAATCTGTTGACTAAAGCAACCCTGACACATGTAATGGGTAGTGTTTGGGGGAGGAGAGTGGCATTGAATCTCCTTCCTGCAAGGTCCTGTCTTAGGGTGGTTTCCCAGAAAAACTGAACCTGAGTCCAGGGTTTAAGTGCAAGTGATTTCTTTTGAGTTGCAACCCCACGAAGCACCATGAGACAATGGGGAGGGGAGATGGAGGGGAATGCGGATAAACAATGTGTATGTAGTGTGGTAAGGAGTGGGCTGCTGCGGTGAGGACTTGGAGTTCCATCCTGGGAGGGACCTTCTGAAAGACTGTGGAACACATCTCGGAGTCCTCCTACAGCGGTGTATTTATTCACAGACTCTACCCCTCATTAACTGAGGGCTCTAACTGGGGCCATTAGTCTCCCACTGCCAGAGGCTGCCTGCACAGGCAGAGAGAGGCAGAAAGAGATTTAAACACAAATGGTCCATGGTTACCCCCTGGATGCATGGAGAGGATGTGGTGCGGCACCAACAGGGTTTGCCCGGCCCCCAACCCAGGGGCTCTGAATCCACCCACGTCTCTAACCCAGCCCACACTCCTAAGCTGACTCACAGAAGGGGAACAGAAGTGGGCTCCTACTTCTGCCTTCTACACTCATTCCCTCTGCGGAAGGCTCAGGAAGAGGACATCTTGCTTCTTTCTATTCCTCACTAAGGCTGCCCCAAGAGAAGGGAAGGAACAGTAGGATAGAGGCTCAGCTTGGTATCTCTACAGGAGGCTGGTCCACAGGGTAAGGCCTTGTGTTTGGTTGCAAGGCCCTTTCCCTGTCTGCCTCAATCACTGGTATGAGGACCAGGTTTTTTTTTTTAACTTCTCTTTTCCATTAAGGTCAGCACAGACGTAGGGCTGCGGTTGCAGTGACAGAAGTCAAAGCCATTTTTCTCTTCCTTTTGCCACTCCACCAGCATCTCACTGTGTGAAGCTGGCCCATGATTGTCCACACAGCAGCTGGTCAAGGTCCTCAGCCTTCAGAGTGGACCTCAAAGTCTTGGTTCAGAGAGCAAAAGGAGGCCCCAGGAGTCTTCAGACTTTAAATTTAGTTCTCCCACATTTTTCTTAAGAGATTTCACGCTGGCTCCCCTCCCAACCCAATAATAAGGGCAGGACCAATCCCAATTTAGATGTTGACTCTTTGTTCATTTTTAAAGAAGTAGTCCTCTTCTTACTCTCTAAAAGAGAAACAGGATATGGGCCTCAAACCCTACTCTGAATCCCTAAGAACATAAGTGAACTGAATTCAAATTACAGTGCTGACACTTGTTAGTGTGCAAACTTTGTCCAATTAAATAACCTTGTAAAAACCTCAATTTTCTCTTTAAAATAGAAAAAACAATGCCTGTCTCATCGTCTTTCAATTAAGATTAACTGAAGTAGTACAACTGAAATGAATACTACAGTAGTACAATTAACTGAAGTAGTACAACTGAATGTGCATAGCATACTGTATTGCACATAGTAGCTGCTCAGTAAAAGGTAGTTGCTGACAGTTAAATGTCTGGAAGTAACTTCAGCTATTAATCTCAATTACTGTCCTCCCTAAACCTGAAAATCGTACAAGGTATTTATTACTTATTATGTAGCAGTTAATACTTGAAGGAATATTTCTTGCACATTAACAACAAATAATTGACATGACACAAACAAAGTTATCATTCTTCTCCCTAATATGTCTTTAGAGAATCCACCTCCAAAAGTCTTAGTCTGTGAGGTTTGAATGGGGTTGATTCCAACCCTCCAGAGTTTGGTCCAAGACCAACAGTTGGTTTGATAGACTTTGGCAAAAGGCATGTGACACATGCCAGGTGTTATGGGCTGAACTGTGTCCCTTCCGATTCATATGTTGACATCTTAAGTACCAGTACTGTACAATATAATTGGAGATGAGATACTTAAAGAGGTAATTAAGTCAAAGTGAGGTCATTAGGGTGTATCCTAATTCAATTTGAGGTCTTTATAGAAGGGAAAGTTTGAGAGAGCCGATGTTTATAGAAGGGGAAAGGTTGAGAGAGAAGGAAGACAAGGTACACAGGGAAAAGATGACCATCCACAAACTAAGGAGAGAGCTCTGGAGCCGATCCTTCCTTCAGAGGGAACCCACCCTGTACTCTGAGCATGGCAGCCCTGGTAAACCAATACACTGGACAATTAAAACCATTCTGTGGAACTGAAAGGTTGAGGCATTGTCCTTTCACTGGGATCACCAGTTAAAACGCGTGCAGTAAGTGCCCGCCTCCCTCCCTCTGTCATACCTTCTCTTTGATCCTTATCTGCTCATGAGTTTTATCCCCTTCTCATTAGTGAGTAGCAGATGTCTCAATATAACGGTTTTGCTCCTGTAAGCAATTTTTCATTCACTCTTTACTTCATTACCTTAAAAGGAGTTATCATTTTAAAGAAGAAGCCACGATTTAGTGTATGTGGTAAACACCTAGCTCCACCTCTCTGTCATACCTGTCTTTGATCCTTATCTGATCATGGAATTTATCCCATTCCTGAAGCTTCTCCTCTCCTGACCTGCTTAGCCTTCTGCATCCCCTCTCCAGAGGTGGGAAACTTTCAGAGATAACCTTTGTGTATTTTTTCTTCTGTTCAATTTGTTCTGTTCCTTCTTCAAGAACCATTGTGCATATGCTAAATTTGTCTTGTTTACCTTCACTATCCATTACCTTTTCTTTTTTTAACATACTGTTATTTTTCATTGTATTTCAATTTTCTCAGACTTATTTGTATTTTCCATTGTGCTTACTCTTTTCTTCTCCTGTCTTCTAATATAGCTTTCATCTCGGAAATGTTTTTGTTTTTCTCTTCTCTTTTCTGAGCTTTGCCCAATTTAATACAATATTCTTCTGTAGTCCAATAAGCTTTTTTTTTTCCCCCTGAGAGGGGGGTCAGAAGTCCATTGAGGATTGAGGAGTTTTTTTGCCCTTAAATAAATTTTCCTTTCTTTACTTTGAGGCCAAAGAAAGCTATTGGCTTCTTATCTCTTCATCTGTTTGCTTTCCCATAGTGATTCCTCCTTTTTGGAAGGGGACTGACCATTTATTGGCAAATAATTGAGAGAGAGAGAGAGAGAGAGAGAGAGAGAGAGAGAGAGAGAGAGAGAGAGAGAGAGAGAGAGAGAGAGAGAGAAAAGAAGGGATGCTAGAAGTGGTGGCCATCCCTTGTTCACTGGTGGCTTCTTATCTTGAGAACCTTCTGTCCCCCACAGATTTCTTCTTCTTTTGCTAGAGGTATAATTCATTTTGCTCTTCAGAATTCGGAAGACAGCATAACTAAGAGCAAGCTATGTGGACCACAGATTTGCTGATCTCTGCCCATCAGGTTTTTTTCCTCCAATTCTTCTACTCTTTCCCTTAGGTAAGAGGCTGGGTCATCTCACAAGAAAAACAAGGTGTCATGCTTTCTCCTGCAGCTCCCCTTGCTCTGTTCAGATGAGTTCAGGATATTCCATGCTTCTCACATGGTCTGTCCTATACTAAGAACTTAAGATTGCAGTTCCAAGGTTCTGGCCACACCTCCAACTTTTTACAGGAGATGTCTTCATCTTGCCTGGATCTGAGGAGCTGTCCTCCAAGATACATTACCGGGGACTCAGTCCAGATTTGCATAGCACCTGCCAGGCTGGCCTCAAGGTGTGGGGTTTGTAGTTGTGGAAATTTCCATCTTTCCCTGAAGTGGGAGATTTTCTGCTGAAGTTTTAGATTTTTTTTTTAAAAAAAGTGTGGGTTTTTAGGATGGTAAGCTAAGCAAGAATGCTGTTATACTTGATTTAGTGACAGCACCTTATCAGGAACATTGTAGATGCACAGTAATTATGCATTAATTATGGATGTGAAGGTCTGGGGTGGAACTTTAAAGGAGGCTGAGAGGGAAAGGAAAGGTGGGGGATTCAGCAGGGGCACTGAGGCTGTCAAGGCTGTGACTTCCATAGGGTACCAGCTCTTGCATTTTCTAAACCTTGAAGCTGAAATCTTTAGGGGCATCCATTAAAAAGAGAGGGAGACGTCTCTTAGCTTTTGATCTCCAACAGAGAACCTGGGCTCTGGAGGGCCTTTACCAGTCTAGGGCTGGAGATCCAACTATAGATAATCACAGGGGTTACTCTCACATTTTTCTTGCCCTGCTATTTCTGGACATAGTTTAGCTGTGGTGATTCACTAAGCAAATAAGTCATTTTCTAGTTTGTTTACAGCTCAAGCCACACTGGTGCTTGTCTGGGTCTCTCACAATCTTTGCCTCAGAACAGCTGGTCTCTTTTCTTAATAGTAATATATATTTTTTTATTTAGCTAATAGGTTACAAAGAATTTTGTTTATATATATATATATATATATATATATATATATATATATATATATATATATATTTTAATCAAAAGATGGATGCAACGAATTAATGTCATCTCAAATGACATGAATATTCAGGAATAAGGTCTGATAATAGTTGATAATTCTGAAAGTTGATAATTTTGCTTTATTTGGTCCCATGTTGGAGTTTAAAATGGTTGTAATGTAATGGCATTACAAGTTTGATTGTGGCGATCCCTTTCCTGAGCCTTGTAAGAAAGTTAAATGGGAATAAGTTTTGCATGGTTTGGAGTCAGAATGTGAACTTTTAGGCAATTTCTTGAAGTTAGCCCATCCAAGTTTTCTAATGAAAAACTACTATTTATAGAAAAAATGGGAAGGAAGAACCATTGTAAATAATTTCTTCTCATATATTTAGTGATCCTGAATCTAATCCTTCTGTAACAACTCATTTAACATACTGAATATGAAAATTCTTTTAGTTATAAAGCATATGATAATGATGTTCAGATGGTCTCAGAGAATTCTGTTACACCAATAAATAAATTTTCCTTTAGGTTTGGGTATTCTGGAGAAAGCTGTTCTTAAGTCTTCATCTAGACTCACAAAAATTTAAGGGACAG